ATCAAAAATAAAAGGTCACAGAGATAAGAGTGAACATGATATTTACAAGCAACAGCCCAAAACCTTCACTAAATATCTTGCAAAGCACAGATTGTAACCATAACAATCTCTAAATATTAGATGGAAAAGGCTGTTGTCAGCTAGCTTCTCTAGAACGTGATCCAAACGACTTTATTCTCACCTCCACGGAAAAGCCAGCAGGATTTAAAATTAACTGTGCTGAATTCAACCACTTTGGCACTCACAAAGGAAGTTTCATCGGTCAAACTGGGACAGTCTTAAACTTGTCCCATAAAATCATGTTTGCAGGAGGCTGGGGGCGGGGGGGCCAAGAGGGGGACTTCTCTATCAAAATCTTTTGTAATCAATAGTATACACTGTCATATTAAACTAACATTAAAAATTCTGTATAAATCAATCTGAAGCTGTACAATTAACTCTGGATCTGCAAGATGCACCTGGTTACTATTTAAAATAGGCACTAGGAAGTTAAAAATACTGCTCCTTCTCAGAGTTCCTTACACTGCCTTAGTATTAAAAGTAAAGTTTTAGAACATCTGGTTTTCCTTTCCACTCCCTGTGACATCATGTTTTCCAAGCACATTTGGCAGCTCACTGTAAAGATACAGGCAGACTAAACATACAGGGCAATGTAGAGTCAAGATGAAAAATTCCAAAGCCCTGGATACAGTAAGTGTGTTTCCTATCTCCAAATTTCAGTTACACAACTGGTATAATAAGGGTTTTCCCCTGCTTTGTAACTCATGTATTCTTCAACCTTACTCTTCCTTGATGAGATAGGATAATATGCCATGTATCTGCCCTCTAGAGTTTTGGCTGTGTCTTTGTAAGTAATTTTTCATGTATTATGGGATATTCAGAGTCCCTATACAGCAAGATTCAGTTATAGGAAAAAATAATTATGTTTAACAGGGTCAGATTTTGTATGTACTTTTCTTTATCTCACTCTGGGAGATGAGATTAGCCTTCTATATTCCTCCTGACTGAAAGACAAAAAAAACCTAACAGACCACACTATAGCCTCTGACTTTTTACTGCTTGGTTTTGTGCCTCAGCCTGGAACTGGGAAATTTAAAAAACCAGTTCCAGGCAACTGCGTTTCCCATGAATTTACACAGGCTGTAAACAATACAAAAGAGCAGCTGTATAAAAACTAAGAGCTCCCATTTGACCAGTTTCTCCCATATATTTTAACGTATCTTGATGCAACCTTTGCACTTTTAACTACCTATTTTATTATTTTTACTGGGTCACATTCAAAACACAGATTAGTCAGCATTAACATATCTTTAAGCTTAGCACATACTCACATTTCATTGATGCACAAGGAGGTAGCGGACTCATTTATGCTCACCAGTGAAGGAGCAGCAAATCTAGAAATCCATTGTCAGTTTCTTGCTCTAAATCTTAATTTCTCCGTTTTGTAGAAAGACTGTTTAGAAATGCAAAGAGGTGCCTTGGGAATCCTAACATGACAGAGTCTCTGGCTTATTATTTCATATTTAAAAGCAATTTATAGCACAGTAATTATTAAAGTGTAAAAAGGAGAAGTACGCATTAAAAAAAACTACTGACAAAATAGTAGTCCCAGTGGTTACGCCCCGATTAAAATGTAATGACTGATCAATAACACTATAAATATAACTTTCACCCTGATGCAATTTGGGATAGTTTATATATTTCTATTGATCAGCTAAGACTTTACGTAAAATGTGAGAAGATCTTGCTTTGTGCTATTTTTATCACACATTTGTTGTAGCAAACCTCTAAATCCCTATCTCAATTATTTTAGAGCTTAGTTCTCCCATCACACCAAGAGGAGAAGAAAAGCTAGCAAAAAGCAGAATCTTATGAGCTGAAAAATGGCTGTTACAACATCGCAATTTCCACACCATAAAGTCAGATTGCCATTTCAATGGCTATCACTGCATATTTCTCTGGCCTTAGAGCAGCAAGAGCCAAGCACATGAGACAGCCCTGAGCAACTTATTTAACTATGATGCATCCCCATTTGTCAGCCCGAAAATGAAAGCATTAAGTGCCTGAACTGTAAGGGTCACAAGACTACAGACCACCTTGAAAAAACGGGCAACAGGTTCTGTAATCATGTAAGGAGTCATCTGTAGACAATTGTTCTTTGTCTGCTGATGACTGAATTACCCTGTTAGAGTTTTCTCACAGAATCCTCACAGGCAGAGAAATATGTCATAAATAACCCACTCACAAAAGAAGAGACCTTTCTTCCCAGAGGAGTTTATCACCCAGCACTGGCACCCCTTCATAAGTCAAATCGTCACTTTGCTTGATTCTGAAACAGCACTTGAGAAGCTTAAAACACCTCTTGGATCTGCTGTTCCATGAGATGCCAGGCAAACAAGGAATTTAAAGGCTATGCATTGCCAGAGTGGTGAAGAACCTCACGCTGATTTCTAACAGCCTGTATAGAATTTCCATGGAAATGAGTTCTGTGCATTGCCTTAAGTCAGAAGTCACAACTTGACAGCACAGGATCTAATCAAGACCAAAAAGAATCCACTGAGGCAGCAACACAAACCTATCCCACCCAGTACTAAATCTATCGCATTCTACCTACTCCTGCCTACTAACCACTCTGGTAGTGGTTATAAGTGCTGCATTCACCTACCTTCATGTGTTTGGTATGTTAAATTAAGTTCCCTGGCTAAGTCCCGTTCAATCTAAGCATCATTTTCACAGAAGAATAAAAGTTTCTTGGGAACCAAAGCTGAACTCACAGAGAGCAGGGAAAGCTGAGCCGCTTCCCGTGGGAAGTAGTAGGCTATGGCTGCTGCAATAGCGAGGCACCTGGTGCAAAGCCAAAATGGCACAGATCCCTCTGCACCCCTGGTAGCTTGGGACCAACCTACAAGTAATCTAAGTCCCCACGGGGAGTACAAATACACAGGTACCTGCGATGGAGAGGAAGAAGCCAGTGTCACAAGAGATTTAAAAACTAAGTTAATAAAAGCAGAACATGGAACCACGGACACGATACATTTTTCTGCCCCACATCATGGGCTAAGTTGCAGAAGAGCCAGGAAAGCTAATTTCAAACAGCCCATTCTCCTCCCCCACACTTGGGGAAACAGCAATTCACACCCCATTTCATAACTGCAGTGCCAAGAAACACCCAAGTGTGACAAAAGCAGGAGAAAGGAGGTGGACAGCGCTGGCAAGAACAGTAATGGCCTGTTTACAGCTGGACACCCTGTCCCAAACACTGCCAAGGCACTGTGCCAGCTCTGCAATTAAAAACAAGGAGTATCTGGGGAAAGAAGGATTTTGCTGAACCTAGAATAAATTTAATTCAGCTAGCCCAAATCAACTTCGCTTTTTGTTTCCAAATAACCTCAAACAGTTTTTAAAGACACAATATTCAAGCTTCTAGGATAAAGCATCATCACCTATAGACAAGCGTGTGTCTGGATCACACAGAAACGGTCACTGATCACATCCAGAAGTGTTCTCTTTCAACACTTTCTACAGTCTATTCGCACAGTTCCTGTTACAGTGTCACGTACTGGCTCTTCTCAGAGCTAAACTTTCAACTCTGTGGATCTACAGGTTGTCCAGTCACCCTTGGCATTACAGGCTGGCAGTGAAATTAATTTTATGGTCTTAAATTGGAATATAAAAGTCAAAGCCTTGACATTTCCTTAGTACTGAAAACTTTTCCTTCTCTCAACAACAGAAAAAAAAGATTTCTAAGGAGTGGTGAATATAAGCCAGGAAACAGTCTAGATATACTAGATTGGAAAGTCACAAGGGCAAGAGGTATTTTGTTACTTACATTCAATAGGTTAATGCTATTTCATTTGTAACTCACAGTACAAAAACCAAACAAAAACCCACCCACTCACACACACAATTAATTTCTCCAAAGTCCATGCTGTTAACAAGCCAAGGGCAACCTAGGCATCAAAACAAGACAGGCTTCTCTTGTGACCTTCCTTAATGATCATCTAAAGTGTTCAACAGAATATGGTCCCAATTATTCTGGGTATTCTATAAACCTTGGCAAAGCAAGCCATTACCTGCAGCTCCAGAACATGCTGTAAACAAAGTAATGGATTTAATGGATAAGAAACACAGCAACTTTTTCAAAAAGTGGGGGGAAAGAGTTTCCAAAGAGATTGTATATAGAAATTATTTTCATTATTCACATGTATGTTTATACTACAATAACTCAACCAATACACTAAACTAAGGGCTAGAACTATCAGAGAGTCCCTGTGAAAAGCTGTCACTAAAACATACAGATGTCTATCCTGAGGCAAAAAAACTTCATTAGATTCCCCATGATCCTTTCCACTGAGACAGGCTTCATCAGGAAAGCACTACACATTGTTTGGTAAGTGAAGTTACACAGCTGCCAGCTGCCTGATCCTGTCACATCACTTTGTACACCCACTAAGAGACCCTGCTTGTAAATACAATTAAATACTTTGATAAATGGTGTTGGCTGAATGGGAATGCATGGAGGAAGGAGCAAGAGATACTGGTTCCTACACACCAAGGTGCATGGGTTTCAGGTGATTGCACCTACTTACTTTACATAAAACATCATTATCTTATGGCTAATTTAAGAATAAAAATCCATGACTACCCCATATGAAGCCAAAAGGCTGTAAAAGCCTTTCCTCATTATTAACACTGACACACAAGCACTACCATGTGAAGGTGTATTCAGGCTTTGGAACAATCCACACTTCCACTATCTACTGACTTCACAAGATCAGCCAATAGGCCTACTAAGAATTGTTACTGACTCATAAGGATTGTTTCAAAGTGAATAAACGAGTGCCAACACTTAATTAAAAAGTAATATTTTAGTAATCACTGTCATAAGTATAAAGATGGTCAACACTCAAAAAAGTCAGATAGGACACCAAACCTCAGTTTTCATAATTGAATGGTTTCTTCTCTCCCCACAGACACACAATACATGAACTCTTCCTTACCACTTCCCCAAGGGAGGCAGCCACCATGTGTGTTGCTGGAGTCAAGTAAGATGCAGAGCCATGGTGCAGCACAGATTTCACATTCTCATAGGTGATAAAAAATGCAGCAGCTGAAATTCAAGAATACATGCAGTCATTTAACTGTTCCTCCATCACAGAACTAGCACAAATGCATTTAACACAGTTTTGTCATTTATTATTCTGCAACTGTAGTTGAAAACATGATATTTTTGCCCCAAAAGAGTACAACAGTATCAACACAATCATTCTGCAGAATAACTCCTTCAGAAGTTCATGCTTCTGGCTATCATTGGCAAACCTCCCATTAATACCAAAGGTGTCAGGACTTATGGCCATATTTAGTATTGAGATAAGGAAAGATGTGTTAGTCATGAACATCCAGTAGGTTTTGAAAAAATAGTATCTTCCATATTCATAGATAGAAAGGGTAGAGAGGAGGTTGTTTGAATTGGATGGATGGCGTTTATTTTTTAGAAGAAAACCCAAACAATCCAAACAAACCAACCAGCTGATTAATGGAAAAGAAAAAAACAGGGCAACTGAGAAGTCATCAATACAAGTCTGCTCCCCTGCAATGTGGAAAACTGTTTCAGTAGCAGTTATTCATAGCTTCTTCCTAGCTATTATCAGTTTAATATTTTGCATTTTAGCTCCATAAAAAAATTCTTCCAAGCCTCTGAAAGACTTTTACAAAACTCCTGTCCAGTGAACAAGAAACATACAAAACTAAACTGAGCACAGCAATAAGAGCTGTGTTTATTCACTGCAACAGTCAGCTACAAAGGCACTTGCACCTTAAGGGTTACTCCTTCTCCTAAAGGTAATTTCTGTTCTCAGTCATACGTTGGAAAGATAAAACCACAGTTCAGATTTTGAAGATGTAAATCCTGAAAAAAACTGACATGTCTTGCGGGGGAAGAGATTTTAATTGTAAAGAAGGGCTATGTGAATTGCCTTCTGCTAATCAAAAGATGCTTATCACCTCAAAAGGAGATAACAGAGCAGACAAGATAAAGAACTGAAATTTTTTATACCATCTTAGGAAGGACATCAAACATCTGAAGGTGTCAGTGGATTTGTCAGCAAAGTTCTCCTAACATTTATTACTGACAGCATAGCTTGCTACTTTTTTATCCCTCCCTACAAAGACAAAATGGACAAAGGCATTAGGAATTTTAGATGCCTTTTCTCTGCAGGGACTACAAGCATTTACTTTTTTAAAATTTCAGTTTCAAAAGTATTCCTGATGTCTTCTCATTGTAAACGTAGCTGTTTCTAGGGAGAAAAAGATCAGCATAGCAATACCAGGGCAATTAGCTCAGAGACCTCCAGTGCTCAAGCACTTTGAATTTTGTTTAATTTCCAGCACCGTGGTCATGACGAAAATGTCCAGGGCAAGCAAGACTCAAGCCCTCTTTGGCACCTGCAAATGCTTTAGGGTGCCCCTTTAAGTAAGGACAGGTTTATAAGAGACATCCAGGAACACTTCCAATGTGTACGGGTTGTTTTTCAGAGTAAACATGAAGCAGCCTTCCTTCCAGGCTTACTCAAAGCGTTTGTTCAATACTGTACAATTCTAGAAACTGCTTTTCACAGCTGGACATGGACTCACAGAATTCAGTTACCTGCAGAAGAGGAAGCCAGACATAAATGGCCTATACTATGTAAGGTCCCACTTAAAGAAGACAAAGCATAGGCCAAAGAATATTTACCATTTGGAAAGGATCCTATAGCAGTGGAAGGAACACCAGCATAGATGCCACGAAAGCCACCAGCCTTCCTAAATCCTTGAGGACTCTGCAGTCTTGTTTTTACAGTATCCAGGGGAAAAAGGATCAAGTCGACACAGACACCAGCAACTCCACCAGCCTTTGAGACAAAACCGTGGAATAAAGTGCATTAATATTCACAGAGGTGAAGCTGTGGTGCTTCTGTAACTGAAACATGCCTAAACCAAAGCATCCTTTATCCTAAACCAATATCCTTTCCAAGGTCAGATTATAAACTGACAGTCTTACACAGAGCTCAGTAGCTTCTATGGCTATAACAAGGAAGCTTCAAGAAATGAAAGTAACAGATACTACAACCTTTAAACCATTTTTAAGGTATTTTCATAACAACCTCAGTAGTTTGAATAGTACAACCAAAGCAATGCAACACTTTACCACTACACATAAAAGACAGTGAATGCCACTTATCAAGATGACACAGCGAAGAATGACCAACACCTCTAGGAAGTTGTATGATAAGATCAGGGAAAGACAGAAGTAATTCTGCTTCCCCTGTAATCATCTCTAGAAAGCACACTGACATTTGTTCAGCAAACTTCTTCATTTAAAGTGTTATCCCCCTATTTCCTTTGTTGAACAAAGCCTAAAGTAAAACTGCTTTACATTCCTTTGCTGTCAATGGCCTGAAAAACAAAAACCCCACATATTAAATAAAAATGTTTTCAAAGTCATAAGGAAATACAATTCCTAAAACCAAACCCTAAAAAAAATGTTCCAACTAAAGATCAATCTTTATCCATTGTCTGTGTTTCTATATTATTTTCTAGTTTAAATTTCCCTAGGACATGGCTGACCTGTAGAAAATAATTACTTGTCAAAAAAAGGAGGAGGAAACTGAAATAAATAGAAAAACTAATTTAAAAAAAAATAATCAATGAGACATTATTTAGATGCACTGTTACTTGGAACAGAAAACACAAGTTTGAAGTCTACCTCATATAGAACAGCACACAAGAAACAGCTGCACAGATTTTCAACTCAGCCTGAAAACAAATCACGTGTCTTACTCTGATCTTTTTGTCAGGGCCAACCAACCAAGGATTCAGAGAGGTGTTCACTATCTACTACTAAAGTTTTAATCAATAAGTTAATTACTCTTTTAATCTAGTTGGCTATTTTGCATGCATTGATTTTTCTTCGCTCTTTTTCATCAAAATCCTTATCTGCTCAAAATAACATTGATCAGATTTAATCAGATTTAATCTAGCCATCTGTTAAAACATGAATCAGAAGTTACTAATTGCTTCTTTAGTTTTCAAAGTTCTGTATCTTAAACGTCATTTAAATTCATGAAGCGGCTAATAGAGCACCTGCCAGAGGGCGACAATACCTATGCGCTTACACCATCCGCAGAAAACAGTAATGATTTTTAGATAATAAGACATCTAAAACGCACCTTCTCCTCCACATTTCAATAACAGCAGCATTATCAGAAGCTGAACAGCTGAAAAACCTTTACCAGGCCCGTGCCTGTTAAACTTAACCCTATAGAAACGATTAAACAAAACCAGGACCTAATTCAATTGCTCTGAACCATGATGTTGCAGCTGGCAGCTGGCAGCCGGTTGCCCCTGGAGTATTTGAAGCAGGGAGCTCAACCCTCCCAGCAGGCGCAGGGCCCGCAGCTCCCCCTCACGCTAGCCCAGGGCATCATGTGCATGATTTTCCCCACAGAACCGAGAGCGAGCGGTGAATCTTTCCAAGGAGGCCCCCGGCTATGGAGACTGGAGGCTTTACCCAGCGCGCCGAGCACACATGGAAAAAAGAGATTTTTAGGGCGGGAAACGCAGCGCAAGGCAAGGCACACGCTTCACAGCGCACCCACCCAGCAGCGCCGCGGCCTCTCCACAGCCCCAACACGCCCCGCCCGCGGGGGACTGTTGAAGCCAAGAGGAGACGAGCCCAGGCGCGCCCCC